GCCGGGCTGCCGGGCTGCCAGAGGGATGTCTGACTGCCAGCTTAGGCCCAATCCCCTGGGGAGCGGGCCTAAGCCAGCAGGCCCTAAGGCAGCCAGCCTCCACTGGGAGCTTGGGTGGGTGGGGGCTGCGGCCAGCCTGCAAACAGCCATCAGCCCCTCATCCAGGCTGGCCACACCATCATGGGGCGAGGGTCCCCGCTGGGTGGCTTGGCCAGCTTGCAAACATCCATCAGCCCCTCACCCAGACTGGCCAGGCACCCCAGCAGGACCTCTTACCCTGAAGGGGGTGTGGCCAGGCTGAAAATGGCCCTCAGCCCCTCATGCAGGCTGGCCAGGCACCCCAGCCGGGACCCCCACACTAAAGGGGCTGTGGCCAGCCTGCAAACAGCCATCAACCATTCACCCAGGCTAGCCAGGCACCCCAGCAGGACCCCCGAGTGCACAAATTTTTGTGTACTGGACCTCTAGTACAATTATAGGAAAAAATGGGCTGAAATAAATCCAGCCCAATGAGATTTATGCTTAATTCCTGATGCCTAGATCACAAGAGCTGCCCAGAATCCCATCTCTTATAAATTTATTTCCTGCTTATTTTAACTAGTTTTAATTCCTACTTCTTATAAAGAAATAGAATGGATACAGATGGGGATGTCTTAAGTCAGTCTCCTCAAGCCATCTGCATCTAAATTAGAGTGCTTTTTTAAAGTGAACAGTTCTAAGGAATGTATCAGAAGAAAACAAACACTAATTTGAAACACTAATTTCAGTTCATTGCAGAGTTATTTACAATAGCCAAGATCTTAAAGCAGGCCAAGTGCCCAGCAGTAGATGAGTGGATAAGAAAGCTGTGGTACATTAACACAATGAAATACTACTCAGCCATGAAAAAGAAGGAAATCTTACCTTTTGTGACAGCCTGGATAGACCTGGAGAGTATTACGCTAAGTGAAATATGCCAGTCAGAGAAAGATAAATACCATATGATTTCACTTATATGTGGATTCATAGATACATAAAACATACTGACAGCTGCCAGAGGGGAGAGGGTTTTGGGGGGTGGGTAAAAAAGGTGAATGGATTAAATAAACAAACAAAAACATAGACATACACACACAAAAATTAAGTGAATAGTTCTAAGCATTATCTCAAATACTACATTCAATTCATTGGTAGTAGGGCTGAGCAAACTGTTATTTAAATAAGATCTATAGAAATTCTTATACACACTAATATTTGATAGTTGCTATGCTACATTGAAATAAAACAGAAAATAGCCCTAGCCGGTTTGGCTCAGTGGATAGAGTGTCGGCCTGCGAACTGAAAGGTCCCCGGGTCGATTCCGGTCAAGGGCACATGCCCAGGTTGTGGGCTTGATCCCCAGTGAGGGACTTGTAGGATGAAGCCAATCCATGATTTTCTCTCATCATGGATGTTTCTATCTCTCTCTCCCTCTTCCTTCCTCTCTGAAATCAATAAAAATATATTTTTTTTAAAAAAGAAAGAAAATAAAAAGGAGCCCAAATGGAGAAGGGTCAGGGGCTGAAGACTACAACTTCTCATTAGTTACTTAAATTGTCATTAATCAGGGCTGCTTGCACACTTTAGAAACATAAATGAAGAGAGAAAATCACTGATTGGCTGCCTCCTACACACCCCCTACTGGGGATTGAGCCCAAAACTTGGGCATTTGCCCTATACAGGAATCGAACTATGACCTTGTAGTTTATAGGTTGACATTCAAACACTGAACCACAACAGCTTGGCTTTTCTTCTTAAATAAGACCTTTTAACATTTCATAAAATACTGGTTTGGTGGTGATGAATGCCTTTATATTTTTCTTGTCTGAGAAGCTATTTATCTGTCCTTCAATTCTAAATGACAGTTTTTGCAGGGTAGAATAATTTTGGTTGTACTCCCAGCTTTTCATCTCTGAATATTTCTTGCTACTCCCTTCTGGCCTGCAAAGTTTCTGTTGAGAAATCAGTTGATAATCGTATGGACACTCCCGTTTAGGTAACTAACTGCTTTTCTTTTGCTGTTTTTAAGATTCTCTGTCTTTAACCTTTTGTATTTTAATTATAATGTGTCTTGGTATGTGCCTCTTTGGATTCTTCTTGTTTGGGACTCTCTGAATTTTCTAGACTTGTATGTCTGTCTCTTTCTTCAGGTAAGGGAAGTTTACTGTCATTATTTTTTTTCAAATAGGTTCTCAATTTCTTGCTCTCTCTCTTCTTCTTCCAGCACTCCCATGATACGAATTTTGGTACACTTAAAGTTGTCCCAGAGACTCCTTAACCATCTTCAGTTTTTTTATTCTTTTTTCTGTTTTGATTGGGTGTTTTTTTTTTTTTTTGCTCCCTTATATTCCAAATCAATGATCTGATTCTCAGCTTCATCTGCTCTACTGTTGATTTTCTATTAATTATTCTTTATTTCAGTCAGTGTAGCCTCCATTTATAACTGGTTCTTTTTTATTCTATCAACAATCAAATCTACAAACAAAAATGAACAAGCAAAACAGAAACAGACCCATAAATATAAAGAACTCTTTGTTGATGATGGGGTGGTGGTGGGCAAAAAAAGTGAAGGGATTAAGAAGTATAAATTTGCCCTAGTCGGTTTGGCTCAGTGGACAGAGCATCGGCCTGCAGACTGAAGGGTCCCAGGTTCAATTCCGGCCAAGGACACATGCCCGGGTTGCGGGCTTGATCCCCAGTGGGGGGCGCGCAAGAGGCAGCCAATCAGTGATTCTCTCTCATCATTGATATTTCTCTCTCTCTCTCTCTCCCTCTCCCTTCCTCTCTGAAATCAATAAAAGAAGTATATTTAAAGAAAAAGAAGTATAAATTTGTTGTTACAGAATCATCATGGGGATATAAATTAAAGCATGGGGAATATAGTCAATAATCCTATATAATAAAGAGGTAATATGCAGATTTACCCTCATGCCTTAAAGCCATCACAAGATAGCTGTCCTGCCCAGCCACGCCCCTGGCCCCACCCCTGATCAGCCTCTCCCACCCCAATTGAGGGTGGGGCAGCTAGCCAACGTCCCCACCCCCCACTCTTTCCCGGGGCTGGGGGTACCCCAGGCAGGCTGTAGGCATGGTGTTGGTCAGAGGCAAAGGCCCTAGCTGTCCCTAGCCTAGAGAATCCAGAAAACCTCAGCAGTGACCAAAGACCAAGACCAAGTGGAAAGGTCCCTGCTGGCACTTACGCCTCAAAGTGCCACGAGGAGACGTAGCATCTTGAACCTGCAACCCTGGCATCTGTACACCAAGTCTTGGGACACACCATGCTGGTGGCACCTATGGGTAAAAGAGGGAGAGCAGGGAGTTGGGGTGCAGAGCTAGGAGGGGCCTAGAGTCTTCGGGAGCAGCCCGTCTGCCGAGGTTGCTGTGACCCGTGCACTTGGGCTTGGTCAAAGCCCCTGTCAGCCCTGCCGCTTGCCTTCCAGGTGTGGCTAACCCTGAGCCGGCTGGCATTCTGCTCAGAGAAGCAGCTGTCACTGGGCTCCATTAAATAAGAGAAATCCAAGAGCCGAGAGTAAATATCCTCCCAGTCCCTTCCTATGCCCCTGGCAAGGAGAGCTGGGGATGGAAGTAATGGAAAATGGCTGCTGCTTTGCATTTTATAATGAAAAGACTCCTGCTATGTAGAGAGGAGAGCTGATTCATTTCCAGCAACACCTGGCGTGTTCCCTGCCCCAGGCCTGAAGCCTGACAGCACCTAGCAAAGGTGTGTCCGCACAGCCACGTTGGCCTGGCTCCTGGAACATTGGGAGCAAGTTTGAGCTGCATTGGTTTAAAAAAAAAGTAAAGACTGAAAAACACCTCTTGGTACTCAAATGGCACTATAAAATGCAGATTACAGCATCTGATTTTGTCTTCTGTGTTGATTTTGAGGTAGAGTGCAAATAGGTTCATGAGAAAAGCAGAAAAAAAACAAAACAAAGGGAAAGGAAGAGGATTCTGCCGTCCACAGCACTGAACGTTGCTTTTTGGTTTTTGTTTTATTTTTCCTTCTTTTTTTCAAGCCAGTATATGCCATTTAAACCACTTTATGGCATTAGGTAATGAGCTAATTCTTCATCTGTTAAGAGCAAGCAGCAGTGCCTTTCATATGAGTCACAGACATTTAATCCACTCAAATGGAGCATACTGAGTGGAGAGAATGGTATGTGTCATTATATAAAGAACTTGGCAGTATGATGCTATCTGACTAAAGGTCTTATTTTGCAATTTAGAGAACATAGACAATCAGGCATTGAAAATGAATGTGCATGCTTAAATGGATGACTTCATTTTCATCTGTAACGACCAAAGGACTGGTCAACAGGAAGTGCATTGATGGGTCCTGCGGTGGAGCAGGTCTGGAGTCTCATGGCGTGGCAGGTCTGGGTGAGGCTGTGTGGCACGGGCCAGGGCCGGGGGACCTGAGGTCACACCCCCAACCCCAGGATGTGAGGCTGTGTCCCCCGCCTGGTGGGGCTTGATGGGGTGGGGCCAGACAGGTCTTGGTGTCGCCCAATGAGGGTGACAAAGGGCAAATAGCAATTATTAAAATATTAAAATATTTCCTCTAATTAATTTCCTTTTAATGTGCACAAATTTCATGCACCGGGCCACCAGTATTCTAATAATTAGGCATGGTACTGGATGCCTGCAGGATTTTTTTGGATGATCACATATGTAATGTCTGGTCACTGGAATGTACAAAAACATTTTTAGAAAAAGACTGCTTGCACAGTGATTAACATAGTTTAAAAGTATTAGGATAAATTTGTCATTAAACAGATGATAGAGAAGCAGAAGCACAAAGAGCCTTATAGCCTCAAAAATTATATATAAAAAGAATGTAAGAGTAAATATGATAATATTACTTAAAGTCATGAGTATTAACTTCTAATAAAGTATAGTTGTACAGCCCAGGAAAGAAATTCTTCTTTATAAAGTTTTTTTCCAAATAATTCTATTATTTTAAAACATATTATCATTACTTATAAGGGAATAGATTATATTTTTTAAAATATCAAGATATTAAATTTATTATCTTTGCATCATATATAATAAAATCCTAATATGCTAAGTGTCCAGTCGTCTGGTCAGTCATTCAACCAATCGAAGTGTAATATGCTAATGATATGCTAAGGCCATCCAACTGCTCACTATGACGTGGTCAACCAGTCTCTATGACGTGCACTGACCACCGGGGGCAGATGCTCCAACCGGTAGGTTAGCTTGCTGCTGGGGTCTGGCCAATTGGGACTTAGCAAGATGGGCCGGGCACCCTGGAGCCCTCCCACAGTCCCTCCCTGGCTGGTCAACCTCCCACGTCCATCCCCGACCCTGAAAGTGCGCCAGTGGGGTCCCTCGGCCTGGCCTGCACCCTCTCGCAATCTGTGCTGAGTGACCACCCCTGAGTGCACGATTTTCATGCACCGGGCCTCTAGTTTTTAATAATCTAGCTGGTGCTTGAAATTCTCTTTCCATTTAGAAAAGACACTGATCTAACAAGCTTAAGACATGCTTTCATTTTCCTTTGTGGTTACTAATTTGTCCTATTAGCTTTGTCAAGTAATTTAACATCCCTATAAATTCCATTAGTACAGTCAGGGCAGTAATTTATGCATCTTACCTATCTTAAGAGATATGGAATAGAAAAGATAAAGTAGCAGAATTAGACTCATATACACAAGTGAAAAGATTTTTTCCTTAATTTTTTCCTAGTGTGTCAATCCTCCATCAACTGGAGACACATTTTTATATATGCACTAATGGGAGAGACTGCTGAGAATAAAACATGGTCAAAGTTTTCCTCTTTAAGCATGAAGATGCTATCCATTTATTTTGAACTTAAATTAGAACTGATTTTCCTAATACCTACAGACTCAAACAGTTCTATTTGAAATACTTAATGCAATATGACCTGAAATATAGCAGAAAAGATAAAATTGTACTCACACTTGAACTTTATAGTTCTTTTAATCATAGCACTGAAATGAAATGCACATTAGTAAAAAAAAAAACAACTACTGAATTTATAGAGCAAATAGCATAGTGTTTCAGATTCTGTGTGTGTGTGCCTGTGTATGTGAGTGCATATAGACATGTAGTAAGTATTAGGTCAGAGGGGAAGTAACTATGAAAAGGTATTAAGAGATATAGGAATACCCATGTAAGCTATTATTTTTTAATTTTTTACAAGATTCAGTAATGCATGCTTTATAAATAGTATTTCAAATATGTTCCGTTTCCTGTGTATTGCAGTCATAAGTATTTCATACAGAACTTCAATCATCCTATATAATTAAGAGGGAATATGCAAATTGTCTGTCACTCCACCACAAAGATGGCGGTGCCCGCAGCAGAGGCGGGGGTTTCTGTAACACAAGATGGCTGTGCCCATAGCGGAGGCTGAATTCCTGTAACGAGCCTTAATGAGGAAACAGCAGGGACCTGAGACTGCGTCCCCCACCCACCCCTGTGGGGCTTGACAGGCAACCTCAGGCCGCACCTCCCAACTTGGAGCCAGACTGGGGGACCTCAGGCTGTACCCCATGCCCTGGCACCAGGCCTGGGGACCTTAGGCCCCACCCTCCACCCAGAAGGGCTTGACAGGGGACCTCAGGCTGCTCCTCTCGCCCCGGAGGACCTCAGGCCGTGCCCCTGCACAACGGGGCTTGATGAGGGACCTAAAGGCTGTTCCCCTCACCCCAGGGAACCTCAGGCCATGCCCCCCACCCAGAGGGGCTTGACAGGGGACCTGAGGCTGCACCCCCCTCCCAGTGGGGCTTGACGGGGGACCTGAGGCTGCAACCTCCCCGTCCAGTGGGCCTTGACGGGGGACCTCAAGGCACATCCCCTGCCCCGGCCTGGGCCAGGGGACCTGAGGCTGCACCCCCACCCAGCAGGGCTTGACAAGGGTGGGACTGGCCAGGTCTGGATCTTGCCCAAAGTGGGGGGGCCGGCCAGGTCTGGGTCTCCCGCAATTTTGAGGCACACATGGGTGGGCGGGGACTTGACTCTGGGTCCTGTGGTGTGCCCCAGACTCTGACAGGAAGAAGTCTTTCATATACATTTTCATAAAATGTATTTTCATATACATTTTACCAATTTTCTTTCATTTCTGACACTTCTATTATAAAGGGCAAATAGCAATATTAAAATATTTTCTCTAATTAATCCCCTTTTAATGTGCACAAATTTCATGCACTGGGCCACTAGTTAAATCAGAATGTTTTAAAGAAAAAGGGAACAAGAAGCAGATAAGCAGATACTACCTCTATTTCCCCATGAGTTTGGAAGATAGCTCTTATACTACAACTAGAGGCCTGATGCACGAAATTCATGCAAGAGTAGGCCTTCCTTCCCCCAGTTGCCAGCACTGGTTCCCCTCTGGCACGTGGAACCCGGCATCCCTCTGGCCACTGGCAGGCACCCAGGACCCAGGCTTCCCTTGCAGCCCTGGCTTCATCTGGAAGGCCATCCAGAAGGACATCTAGAAGGATGCCTGGTCTAGTTAGCATATTACACTTTTATTATTATAGACTAGAGGCTGGGTGCATGACATTCATGCACTAAAGGGGGTGTCCCTCAGCCTGGCCTGTGTCCTCTCACAGTCCGGGACTCCTCAGGGAATGTTCGCCTGCCAGCTTAGGCCTACTCCTGGGAATAGGACATCCCCTGACGGGTCCTTAGCACTGCTGTGGAAGCGGGAGAGTCTTTCACCACTGCTGCTGCGCTCGCCAGCTGTGAGCCAAGCTTCTGGCTAAGTGGCACTCCCCCTGTGGTAGTGCATTGACCACCAGGGGGCAACTCCTACATTGAGCATCTGCCCCCTGGTGGTCAGTGCATGTCATAGTGACCAGTTGTTCCACCATTCAATCGATTTGCATATTAGCCTTTTATTGTATAAGATGTATTGATTACTCAATTTTCAGAAGAAGAATACACATTAATTGTTGAATACCAAATGGTTAAAAATTATCAGTAGTTCCTGTAACAGGAGGGCAAGCAAATGACAAATCCTCTTTTCCTCTGAGTACCTCTAAAGAACATAGACTCTTAATTCAGTTATTTTAGTACCATTTTATTGGGAAGGGAGCATCATACAGTGCTTGAAAGCAGACTACTGACAGAAAATAAACTTCTTGGACTAAAAAGAGGTGATTGTATTTAATTGTATTACTTCCTTTCTGAGGATTAGGCATTGTTGTCCCAAAATACTAACTTTGTTGTCTGAAATAGTAAGGGATTTAGCAAAGTTTCTTCAAAAAGAAACCAAAGATTTTGCACTGAAAAATGGAAAAATTCTAGTTCTTCATTTATTCTGTAAAATAATTTCATCTCCATTAATAATGGCGGATTTTGTAATCAAAGAAAACATGATAATTTCAAGAGAAACATCAAAAGTGCTATATTCAAAGTAATGTCCATCGCTAGCTACACATTTCTCCCATCTTTCAGGTAATTTGTGGATACCGTCCCAATAGAACTTTTCTTGTTTTGAGGCAAACCATTCAGAGACCCAATTTTCCACTTCTTCGTATGTTCTGAAGTGCTGCTCAGAAAGTGAGAGTGCCATCGATCGGAACAAGTGGTAATCTGAAGGAGCAAGGTCTGGTGAATACAGCGGGTGAATACTTCTCAGGCAAGATCTTTTAACGTGTGTTTAACTGGTTTTGAAGTGTGTGATGGTGCGTCACCATGAAGCAAAATTACTTTGCCGTGTCTTCTGGCACATTCTGGTCATTTCACGATCAAAGCGTGATTCAAATTGATTATTTGTTGTTGGTAGCAATCAGTATTAACGGTTTCACCTGGTTTTAGAAGCTCATAATACATCACACCTTCCTGATCACACCAAATGCAGAGCATTGTCTTCTTTCCGAAGCGATTTGGCCTTACAGTTGATGTTGATGGTTGACCTGGATCAACCCATGATTTTGTGCATTTGGGATTCTCAAAATAAATCCACTTTCCATCACCAGTCACAATTCGATGCAAAAAAGACTTTCTTTAATGCCGTTGAAGCAACATTTTACTGATGACTTTTCAGTTTTCCATTTGTTTTTCGTTCAGTTAATGTGGCACCCATTTTCCTTCCTTTAAAATCTTTTCCATTGCTTGTAAATGATCGGAAATTGTTTGCTGAGCAACGTTTAATATTTCTGCAAGTTGTTTTTGAGTTTGACACATATCTTCATCCAATAATGCTTGTAACTGTTGGTCTTCAAACTTTTTCGGTTGACATGGACGTTCTTTGTCTTTCAAATCAAAATCATCACTTTTAAAGCATTTAAACCAACGTTCACAAGTATCTTAAGATGGAGCATATTCACCATAAGCTTCCCGAAGTATTCAGCAGCATTTTTCTTCAAAATAAAGTAATGAATTATAACTTCCCACAAATGCTCTTTTTTTGGCACGAAATTCAACATTTTTAAGTGTAAAAAACACCTTCAGCATATTTGACATATGAAGTTTTGAAGCTTGTTGTCAATACAACAAAATAGCATACATATCAAATCACATATATATCAGCATATGTGTAACTCCATCTATTGAAAAAAGTTCACATTATTAACCAGTACACCTAGTAATTGCTTTTTAGAATATTTTACATCTTCAAAAAAATTTGTTGTCATAATGTCCTTTGATGCATTTTATATTAATCTAAAGCCATAACATATCTAGAAAATAGCTAAATAGCTAAATAGGGTGTGGAAAGATTCCCTACACATAAAAAAAAAAAATACCTAAAAACATAGGCTGGGAAAAAGATCAAGAGACATTTTTAAGTGTTGAGAAATGATAGCTGAAGAAGGAATCTTCCTTTTTCTCAACTAGAGATTTAGCCTTACTTCTTACTCAAATTCTTAACTCCCTTTCAACTACTTTCTAGCTTTTTCTACACAAGAACTTTTTCAGAACCAGACAATATGATAAGGTTGTGTATGTGTACAGGATTCAATATACAGTCACACCCGCAGTAAAGCTACATGTACCTGCTTTTGTGTGGGCTCCTTTCCAAATAGTAAACATTCCTATGCTTGAGCCTTCTCCCCTTCTCTTCCACCTATACCTAGAAAGGTATCAATAAGTACCACCAATAAATATAATATTGTTTACATAATTTGGTTAAGTGATTAGGATGATATAAATTTAAATTGGAAGATAAGAAACCCCACTTCAGAATAAGTTCTAGTCATTGGAATTCCACAACTGACCTTCTGGCAGGGAGTTTATTTTGGTGCTAGAGGCCTGATGCACGAAATTCGTGTAAAGGGCTCGGCCCTCGCAGCCCCGGCTGCCTCGCAGCCCTGCCCCCTGCCCACTGGTCTTTCCTGAAGGTTGTCCCAGAAGGTTGTCCCGGAAGTCATTCCGCCATCCGATCTAATTAGTATGTTAGCTCTTTATTATATAGGATAATATTATTAGAGTTACTGGGGACATTTTATTTCCTGACTACCTATTCATCAATGTATGCATGAGTCTTCAGAAGTAAATCTTAAGAGGGAGGAAAAATGATGAGTGTAAAAATTTGGAAGTTGAAGTTAATTATGATATCCAAATAGTAATAAACATATTAAAAGACAACTTGGGAAAATATTTGAGCTTAACATGACATATGTAAGCAGTATATAAAGAACTGAGTTATAAAAAAAAGCAAAAATCATAATCTTTCCAATTTAAGAATAGCTAAAGGATATAAATTAAAAATACCCAATTCACAAGAAATGTTCCCTACTTTTGCAATGGAATAGAATTAAGGATAAATGTTAATATCAGAATTTGAAAGCAAGTGCACTGAACTAGACACTCTTGGACTTAGACAATAAATGTATCAGTGACAAATATATTAGGGAGATAATTAGTGGGTTATTTTTTCCCCCTTCAGTTTTGTAGGCAGCATATAAGCTTCCTAAATCTGGTGCCACATCAGAAGCAGAACTTCCGACCTAGCTAGAGATGCATTTCCAGAATAGGATCCATATCATAATAAGTGCCATGTGTCTGTGTGGGGTGTATATAAAATCATAAGCTTTTACAATTCAAATATCAAACCTCAGAAAACATAATCAATCTGGCAACAACAGATTCTGACAGCCCAGGCAAATCATCTGCTATGGAAGAAAATACTTAAAATACATATATATAGTCTGGCACAGAATTAAAATAATTTTTATGACATAGCAATAAAGAACCATATTCTAGGTATTATATAATGATTTTAAAAGAAATATATTAATATTCATAATAGGTATCATATATTTTTTTCATAAATTAGAAATAATGCTTGTAATAGGATGTTATAGTAAGAATAATAATAACAACAACAAACCTAGATGCAGGTAAAGAGGTAAGCAATCCATAGGTTTACTGGCAGATATATACTTCCTTCAATTAACCAATCATTTAAAGTACAGTTTATAAAAATATTTGTACTCATTTCAATTATTTTTAAATGCATTTTATACTGGAGGAAGGAAGAGGACCACAAAATGATGGATTTGAAAATAAGAGTATTATTATATTTTAGAAACTAAGTTGATAGTTTGTAGTGCTTTGTGACATATTTAACGTACAAATTTAAATGTCAACAGCTAATCAGGGATAATCTGCTATTAATTTTCTGTGTTTAAAAACATCAAGTTCTGGCAGCAATTTCTATCTCTTTGTGCTTCTACAAGCACCGTTCGAAAACATAAAATACAAATGATCTATCAAATAGTATTTTAACAATTTTCCCAAAATAAATATTAAAGAATTCCAGCAATTTCAAAGTTATAAAACATGGCTAAGAACAAATATTTAATAGATTTAGGAAAGAGAGAATAAAACAAACAAGAAATTAACATGTTAGAAGATGACAAGGAACCTATAGAAACATTTTTAATTTTTAAGTTAACATATAACGTAAACCACGTAGGTAATGCTAATTTTACTTTCAACTAAAGGTAAAAATCAGTAGACAAAACATATAATCCATTAAAATTCAGATTTTATGTTATTATATTTTTAAAAGCAGCCACCATCATTAAAAATTTTTATAAAATGATAAAATTTTTAATAAAAAAGCCTAGATATAACACTTATTTAAAAGTTCTATGTTTAATCTAAGACACTATTCACTTAGTTATTTTTATTTATATACAGAATAAGTTTTAATCTTTCAGTGCGGAATAACTAATTAAAAGGAACTTAAAAATTTAGGTCTTTACAAGAGTCATTCATTTTAATTATCCTATTATTTTCATATATTCATTACGATGTATCCTGACAAATGTGAGACTCATTTACATTTCTCATGTGTAACGTATGCTTCCTATATGTTTGTAAAATGTTATATTATTCTCCTTCATTTTATATTTGCTATATTGGTATTATTTAACTGTCAGATAAATCTCTTCTATTTCATAGCATTGTCCTAAGGTCAGGAGTGGCATAGAGCAAGTAGGCAGAGCTTATTTCATTTCTAGCAGTCACACAGAATCATGGACAATATATTGAATGAATATTTATTTTCAGTGTTTCATAGATCACTGAGAACAGTACTTTTATCTTTTCATCTCTGTAAACAATATTTCATAGATGTGAACTTATCTATGGAACAGCTAAATCCATATTGCTTTGATATATAAATGAATGTTTAATTATTCACTGACATATAAATAGCCTCATTAGTTAAATCTAAAGCTCTCGGAAATTCCAGACAGTGACCTGTCTTTGTATTGTCTGTACCCAGCCCAGTGAAAAAAACACAGTAGATATTAATAGATTTCATTTAAAAATTGAATGAATGTACATTTACTATTTTAGAAGCTTGAGAATTCTAGGAAAGTTTATGTAAATAAACCATATATATTAAGAACCAAAGTGTTTATATCTAATGATAAAAATAAAAAAAAATGAAAAACAAAGGTAACTATAGCTACATTGCAATAAAATGAGAACTTTATAATAGAAAGAGGCTAACAAATGTAATCTGATTCCAAAGTTCAGTAACATTTTTAAGAAAAAAAAGTCACTTAGCTTTAACAATTATATTAAATCTTTAGAATACTAAACTTTAAAATAAATTATTAAATCTTAATTCTGATTTACTGGGTAAATGGGCTCCTGAATAATCTAAAACACAATGCATATATGTGTGTATATATGTGTGTGTGTGTGTGTGTGTGTCTATTTCTAGCCATAAAATAGTGAATATTTTAAAGGCCCTTATACATGTATTTTTTTTTAACTACCAAACTGTTATTTTAATAACCTGGGTGAGCTATAGATTTCTAACCTATAAAATGAAGTTATTATATAATAACTCTAAAATAGTAAGTCATACAACATGTACATTTTTCCTTAATATAGTACCATGAAAATAACAGTAAAACTGGAGCACCTTAATTTTTACTTTAAACCATACTAAGAAATATGCTATACCAGTAACAGGCACTTCTGAAATTGTGTGTTTCTTTTTTCTGATTAAAAACTGAGATCTCTTTCTGATTGCTCCCTCATTAAATTGAGCATATAACATAGCCAAGGTAACAGTGAACTTCCCTCTTTAAGTGTTCTAGTATTCTAAGATTTTCCTGGCTATTACTCTCGTGTGTGTGTGTGTGTGTGTGTGTGTGTGTGTGTGTGCGCGCGCGCGCGCATGCGTGCTTTTTTTTCTCTTTCAGTCATTATACTAATTGTTAACAAGTGGACCAAAGTACAGGTTTTGATTTTAGAAACTGAAAAAACTCTTACGATTTTGTTCAATGCGCTCTACTAGTTTGCTCAGCTGTTTCTCGTCCCACTGAATAGAAACTACTAATTATTGTCACTTGCATTCACAAGAGAAATGTTATCTGAGTAGACTCTAAATCCTGAGGGAGAGATGAAAAAAATTTTCAGTGTTTTCTTTGTAAAAAGTTTGAACTAATGCCCTAACCAGTTTGGCTCAGTGGATAGAGCGTCGGCCTGCGGACTGGGCCCAAGGT